CCGTGCGCTCGGAGAGCTCCGCAGCGAAGGTGCCGTTCGGTCCTGGGCACGGTCGTGGGTGAAACCTTCCCGTCTTTTGTGTCTCGTTGCCTCGCAGAGAAGCAGGGCCCCGAGCGGAAGCGCATCAAGAAGGAGCCCGCCATGCGCAAGCCCGGCCTGCTCTTCGGAATGGGCCTCTCCGGGATCCGGGCCGGCTACCCGCTCTCCGAGCGCCAGCAAGTGGCTCTGCTCATGCAGATGACGGCGGAGGAATCTGCAAACAGCCCAGGTGAGAACCCCGGGGACGAGCTGCCATCCCAGGGACAAGCTCCCATCCCGGGGACGAGCTGCCATCCCAGGGACGAGCTGCCATCCCGGGGACGAGCTGCCATCCCGCACACTTGCTGCTCCTGCCGTCACTGTTCCCTGGGGTCCTCCGGGCAGCTGAGCTCACACCAGCGCCTCGGGCTGCGCTAGCCAAGGAGCAATGGGAATAAAAGGCAGCGTCTCATCCTCTTTGGGCATTTAAAAATGCTTCTTCCTGCAGAAAGGGGTTGGTACCCCGGGTTTGGGATTTTAGTAGTTTTATCTGTCATGCGTGCAGCCCCCGCTGCGCTGCCTGTGTGTCTCGGGCATGGGCGCTGCTGGTTCCAGCCCCCCGTTTTGTTGTTCTTGGCACAGATTGAGCAGCTCCCCTGGGAAAGGGGCACTGCCCTCGCGAGGCTCCCGGACCTCACACACCCTGCGTGAGAGGGATGAGGTTTAGAGCACGGGGATGCAATGTCTGCTCCTCGGCGTGGCCTTGCCAGGGGCTGCAGTTAGCGTGGGCGCGAGGTGCACCCTCCCATCACTCCCATCACCGCTTCCCTTGCCTCTCCGAGCACCTCCAGCCCGGAGGCACCGGGAATTATATTGCAAGAGCTCCCTCTAAGGGCTCCGGCCTCCTGCGAGCAGCAGCTCCTGACGCCGTTTCTCTTCCCTCTGCAGTTGACACAACACCAAAGCATCCCTCTCAGTCCACAGTTTGTCAGAAGGGAACTCCCAACTCTGCCTCCAAAACCAAAGATAAAGTAAACAAGCGGAACGAGCGGGGGGAGACGCGGCTGCACCGCGCCGCCATCCGAGGGGACGCCCGGCGCATCAAGGAGCTCATCATCGAGGGCGCCGACGTCAACGTGAAGGACTTCGCGGGTAAGGCGCTGGGTTTGCACCCGGGGCTTCCTCGGGCCGGGGACGGGCCCCTCTCTGTCCGCTTGCTGCTCCCTTCCTGCGTGGGGTCACCTCAGCAGTCTGGGGCAGGATTTGCAAAGGGAACTGGGCTGGTTTCACTCCTGTTTCACCCAAAACGTAAGAAACTGTATGCACAAAAGTACTGAAAACACAAGATTTGTAAAAGCCTCGCTCCAGAGTTGGATGGTGAACGGCTGCGGCACTGGATGCTGTTTGGCACATGAGGATGTGAGCGTGCAGGCGAAGGGAGCCATGCTCGGCACGCTGGGCCCTGCGGAGCCTCCGAGCCGCT